GGGACGTTTCAGAGAATTTGGCAGTTAATCCAATTGGACTCACAACCGCAGACCACATGTAACCACACCAACCCAGGACCTCCACATCCAGCATCTTCACCGCCAAGATCGTCTGAGACCAGCCACCCGGACAGCTGCTGCAACAATTGGTCTACATAACCAAAGATTTTCTGTACAAACTCATCGTCATCCTCATCGGGGTCGCCACTAGGGGGTGTAAATCACCAGCTTTACCACGATACGATATTATATTGATTTGTTTGTGTAACGATACGATTCTTTTTCGATATCACAAAGTCTGTCTGTCACGATACGATTTCGATTCTATTCAATTCACAAGTCTGCGATCGATATATTGCGATATCAAATGCCCATCTCATTTACGTATAAATAAATTTACAAAAACAATTCAAATTTAATTTAACCATTTTATTTCTGTTATTACAGGCACCAGGTGACCTGTTCGGTATAGTCTCATATTTCTCATGTTTAAGTGCATTTTTAAAACCAGTTAACTTAAAAGTGTCCTGATTACCTTCCAGTTATAAAGAAACAAAATTAGATATTGAACTTACATAACATGGCTATCAATGCTGTGTTTCTTCTTCAGGTGAACGGCCAAATTTGTTGCGTTTCCCGAGTATTTGAACTCACACTGGCCCTGTTGCATACGGCATGAGTTCTGTCTGTTGAGCCGTCCTTCTGTTGGAATCCAAAATATTTCCACAGCGTTCATTTAAATCCAGCAGGAGAGTGAATTTCATTTTCCGTGTTTTCTGCCTCTCTGCCATGTTGCTGAGGTGGCCGCAGAGCGCAGCCATGCACGGAAATGGTGACACCGCCGTGCCTTGGGAATTTCAAAATAAAAGCGTATTTTAAAGAGGACAATATGAATCGATGTTTTAGTTTTGCCACAATATAATTGAATCATTAATCATTTAATGGTTATATCGATTTAAATTGATGTATTGTTACATCCCTAGTCACCACCTGACTGAAGTTCGTCATCGTAACTGACCTGAGTGGGTAAATGCTCACATTCGATGGCGTATGGCACGTTGGAGAGGAGTTCTCTGGATGAATCCTGGTTTTCACTTTGCACAGCAGATGGCAGACTGTGGCTTCATGTGGGTGAACGGTTTGCGGCCCATGGTGGTGGTGGTGTTATGGTGTGGGCAGATATATGTTATGGACAACGAACACAAGGGTGGTGGTTACAGGTGGTCTGCGGTTGTGAGGACGGTTGGATGTTCTGCCAAACTCTCTGAACTTGGACATTCGTGCAGTCAGCACGTCAACTGCTGCTCCCTCAAAATCAGCAACTTCTATGATGTGATAAAACTGCACATTTTAGAGTGGCCCTTTATTGTGGTCAGCCTAAGGCACACCTGTGCAATAACCATGCTGTCTAATCAGCATCTTGATCTGCCACACCTGCGGGCTGGATGGATTATCTCGATAAAGGAGAAGTGCTCACTAACACATATTCTGAGCACACACAGACTGCAGATCATTCTTTATAAATTCATATTTAATCATAAATCAACTCAGAAGACAAACTGTATTCACATTTTGTAAGATAAGGTGCAATTTTATATCACCTTTTGCATATTTGAGTTGAGTTTCATCGTCAGTGTAATAATCTCGGCTGTGGATTATAAATACTTTCAGCATTTTGTGTCATACATGTTTATCTCCAGCTGAGGGCAGAAAACCTTCTAAGATGAATGAGAGGAAGAGGAGGATGGAGTGAAAGAAGAACATGAAGCTGTCCTGCAGCTTTGGAAGCGTTGGAGGGGAAGAGGTTAAAGCACACTTTAGATCTTTAGATGATCATGTGCTTCTTTGTTTTGTGTAAAAATGTGCTGCTGGTTGCTGAAGACAAAAGACTCGGTGGTCCACTGTGAGAACTACCCCCCCCCCCCCCACCCACCCATAATGCCATCAATAAATCATAACCTGCACCAACACGGGTTCATAGTGAGACGATAAAAACTGGCTAAAATAAAAACGTCCTCCATCTGGAGCCAGATTTATTATGATTATTTAAGATTGTCTTACCGTGTGCTACTTTAATCATTTAGATTTCAAAATGTTGAGCTCTTTAAGGATCAGTGTGCTGTGACTTTTAGTGTTTTAGTGTTAACTTTTATACTTTTGGAAATAATTTAAATTAGTTTCACTTGTTGGAAAAAAAACAAGATGTTATTATTTTTTTCAAAAACGTTTGAATTTGACTTCAACACACTTTTTGTCTTCTTATGCTGCTTTTAGCTACTGTCTTATCAAATTTTAGGTTTTAGCTACAGTTTTGCTGTTTTTAGCTTGTAGCTATGATTTAGTTCAATATAGCAAATGGTTATGGTTTTACTATAGTTTAGCTTTTAGCTACTGTTTTGTTCATTTTAGCTTATAGCTACTGTTTTTTCACTTTGTGTTGAAAGCTTCACTTTTTTTTTTTAACTTCTAGCTTGTAGTTACTAATTTGAGCTTTTAGTCCCTATTTTGAGTCTTTAGCTATTGATTTGCTAACTTTAGCTTTTGGCTACTGTTTTGCTTTATTTAGCTGTGCATTTAGCTTCAGATTGGTACATTTAGCAATTACATTGCTCAAGTACCCCCAGGATAAAATAAGCTTACTTTTACCTTTATCTTTGGTTTGACCAATTTTAGCTTTTGGCTATTGTTTTGGTCATTTAGCTTAGGCACATGCAGAATAAAAGATGTTCTTATCATAGCATTTAGTTTTGCTTTAGTTAATTTTAACTTTAGCTGCAGTTTTGTTATTTTAGCTTTTACCTTTGGTTTAGTTCATTTTACATTTTAGCTACAGGTGAAGTAATGTTTGGTTTTATGTTTGGTTTTACTGCTTTTTAGCTTATTTCTATAGTTTTCTTTTACCTTTAAGCTAAAGTTTTGTTAATGTTAGTTTTTAGCCATGTTTGAGCTATGATGGCTAACTAGACCAAGTAGGCCTGTTGCGATAAGCAATACATGAATTAATCGCATGACAAATGAAAATGATCAACCTCATTGTCATTTATTGACTTTATCATTTATTTTTGTCTCTCTCTTTCTACTGAAGACACTCGATGACAAAAGACTCAACTCTGGTGCTCTTCACTGACCCCTCTCTTTCTCTTTAAAATCTGTTTTAACGATCCAAAATTGTGTTTTTGGATCGTTAAAAGCAGCTAAACTACGAGCTAAGTTAACAGGCCGACCTTGGGAAAAACCTCCGTCTTGCCGAAGCTCCAAAATTCACGGTTGAAACCCGTGCCTTCGTGTAAAAAGTTGTTTTTCTTTGCAAAAAGGAGCTGAGAACTCGTTTACTGATTTTTTTTTTAAATTAAAACCTTTGTGTGACAAATGCCATGCTAAAGAGCTCAAACCACACAGAGCATCCGCCATTTTGAAGAGACGGCCCATGCAGTGTTGCCAGGTGAGAAATGTAGGATTATCGTACTAGAGACATAAAATGATCGTATTTTGAGGGAAATTATCGTACACCTGTCATAACCAAAATAACAAATCTATTGATGCACTATAGTAGTGATGGGTCCGCTTCCAGGCCGACTCTGCTTCTTCATTTGTTTCTTTTCCTCACTCATGGGGCGAGCGCAGCGGACTATTCAGCCAATCATGGCCGTTGTTCTGAGACAAACGCATACACGTCACTCGTAGGTCACATTTAGAAAAGCACGATTGGTGCGTCTGTTTGCAGACACAGATGTCTTCAGGGTTCACAACAAAACTGCAACAGACAGTTGCGACAGGCTGATGACAACCGATTACAACCACACATTCACGGAATGGTCAAATTATCGTATATTTGGCCTTTTTGGGATTACTGATCATACATTGTACAGATGGCAAAATTGTCGTACAAATACGATAATTATCGTGCACCTGGCAACACTGAGCCCATGTCAAGGGGCCTCCCTCCCATTTTTCTTAAAGAGACACGCCGCTCGCTTCCTCACTATCCATCCTTCGGTTCAGTCTTCTACTGCCATCCAGTGGTCAAAAACAACATTTCTTCTTAAATTTGACAATTACTAATTATTGTCTAATTTAAATCAGCCACTAGGGAGCACAAGCCAATGTATCTCTTGTGCCGGCTCCAAGCCCGGGTAAATGGTGAGGGTTGTGTCAGGAATGGCATCCGGTGTAAAACACTTTTGCCAAAACCATAATGCGGGTTCATCAAAGAGAACAGAATGAGGTGGAGGAGGATGACTCGCTGTGGCGACCCCTGAAGAGGGAAAAGCCAAAAGAAGAAGAAGACTAATTATTGTCCAATTTCAGACAATATTATCGTTTATCGCAATAATTTCTGAAACAATTAATCACCCAGCAAACTTTGTTATCGTGACGGGCCTAGGCCCAAGTGAAATAAGTAGGAATATAATGACTACACAAACAGCCTCACCTGTTATTATATAACTTTATATCAATTTACAACTAATACTTTTTAAATACATTTAGTTCTATTAGCAATTTTTGACTTAATTCCTAAAGATTTTCTTAATACCCCTCACTTATTGTTTTACAACCTGCACAAGCTTCGGTGCAGCTAAAATGTTTACTAGTTCACCAGTAACACTAATAATGCATCTTGAAATCTTCAACTCGTTAAAAGAAACGCACAAAAAAAAAAAAAAAAAACAGTGAAACGCATGTGTTTGATGTGCGTCTTACAGAAGTGAGTGCTAATGTTTCCGACGGTCCCTGAAGGCGGCAGCGCAGGAGGAGGGTTAGAGTTGCTGCTGGTGTCACAGCTCTCTCGTTCTGAACGCCTCATTCGTCTCAACATGCATCTAAATGTTTATCTTGGCAGCGCAGGGTTTGAACCTCACCTTGTAACCTCCTCATAGGCGTGCTGAACTATTCATGATGGAGTTTTTTAACGAGCCCAGCTAGCGTCACTGCGGACATTGTCTTCGTTGTAGCTAGCTACCCGCTGCTAGTTGTTGTTAGCTTCAGCGGCTAATAATAATATGGCGATTGTGTCTGGCTCGTGCGCGCTGGTGAACGGCTCCAGAAACGGGCCCTCCGTGCCAGCGGCTCCCCCCGGGCCTGCCGGGCAGTCTCAGCCCATGATAGCAGTGTGGGAATGGCAGGACGACCAGGGCTACTGGCGGCCCTACAGCGGCCAGGTGAGCGCCCACATCGAGCGCTGCGTGTCCCGGCGCGGGCCCCGACTCGGAGCCGGCTCGACGAGCATCTGCCTCGGACAGTCCGACCCCAGCCTGTCGCCGTACCTCATCGACATACCGACCCTGAAACAGTTCCGACAGGACACAGGTGAACATTCCCGACATCTTTGTTTACTCATTTCTGAACTGTGGCGCACGTCCCGTCGTGAAGAGGCCTGGCTCGGTGGTCGGCTGTAAGGAAACATTAGTCATGTTGGGCCTGATGAGCAGATGAAGACTTGTAACGATACTTCAGTTCGATGGTTTGAATGAATAACAGCAGCTTTTACAAACAATGCAAATACTTATTAAACGACCGAACCAAGCCAATGCTCTAAAGATTGGTGCTTTACTTTTAAACTGTACTTTTCTCTATTTAAGATGTGTGTTTAATAAATATTAATACCACTTACATAAATGTAGTTTTAAAACGAGATCTAAAGCACCCACCACTTCACCTTAGACCATCCACAATCGTTATATTAGATACAAAAAATAGATTATTTTATAATAAATATTGAAGATAAAGCTAACTTTGGGGGTCAGTTAGTATAAAAAGATACTCAGTGTGAAAAGTATGAAATCAAACACAAAGGTAACCTTTATCAAATGACCCCGTTTGAAAGCTTTTACTCCAGGTATGTTTATATTTTATGAAATGAGGGTCCACACTCAATATAAACAAAAGATTGAGCTGAGTTATTGATCTTCATTAGGCCGTCCGTAGTCTGTGTATGTAAACAAACATGGCCGTCAAGTTTACGATTTGACCTGTAGTAGTTGGCATCTGGCATCACATTTTCCCTTGATTATTTTAATTTTATTTTAAACACAAAAGTCAGTCGGAGCAAGACGGTAGACCAGTGGAACAGTGAGGCTACAAGGAGCAGAGGTCACAAAGGTGCAGGACTAAAAGGACTTGGGGTCCACTGTCCAGGAACATGGGGAGTGTGGTGAAGAAGAGAGTCCAGGCAGGATGGAGAAAAGTTTCAGGAGTGATTTGTGACAAAAGGGTGTCAGCAAAGGTCAAAGGAAAAGTTTACAAGACAGTGGTGAGACCAGCTATGTTGTATGATCTGGAGACAGAGACATGGACAAAAAGACAGGAGAAAGAACTGGAAGCAGCAGAAATGAAGATGTTGAGGTTCTCCTTAGGAGAGACAAGGATGGATAAGATCAGGAATGAGATCATCAGAGGTCCAGCACAGGTTGAACAACTGGGAGATAAAGTTAGAGAGGACACACTGAGATGGTTTGGACATGTCCAGAGGAGGGACAGTGGTTTGGACATGTCCAGAGGAGGGACAGTGGTTTGGACATGTCCAGAGGGGGGACAGTGAGTATACTGGTAGAAGGTTGTAGAAATGCAGCTGCCAGGAAAAAGACAGAGGAGATATATGGAGGTAGTTGAGTACCTCATCCACAAGTATTTTACATTATTACATTATATTATTATCATTACATTTTTTATTATTATGTTATTATTATTATACATTATATAAAAAATTAGATTATTAAATAGTAAATATTGAAGATAATAGAAAATGTAGTTCACAGTCAGAGCTCTGGAGTGATATGTTGTGCTTTAGGCAGAGAGACGTTTTGAAATTTTCCAGGTTGTCCAGTGGACAACGTCTTCACAGAATCTGGGTGGCTGCCAAAACCTTGGGTTGTCCACAACCTTTAAGCAAAAACTCAAGAAAAATGTTGACCTGGAACCAGACTGGATGGCTTTAACAAGAGCACCCCGCTCACCCCCACTTCGTTTTTACAGATGACGGAAATCTGTCACGGCGACAGAGAACTTTAACCCATGTGTACTTCAACTGGTTGTCCACCGGACAACTTCGAAGTGATGTGGACGTCTAAGACAAAAACGTGTCTCAGTCAACTGGAAACCTCTGATGTCAACCGCTGGCTTTGTGTGTATTATTGATTTGCTGAAAACTGCTCTTTGTTTCCAGGAACGACCCGGTCAGTTCGGCGCTCCCTGTTCGCTCAGTCTTCGGGCCTGGGCAGCGGCGTTTACTGGGAATGGGCCAACGATGAAGGAGGCTGGACTCCGTATGAAACTCGGACCTCGATCCTTTTGGAGCACAGCTATCAGGCCCGCCAAGGCACGGCGGACTTGGGCCCTCACGGATACAATTACATAGTGGATCTCACCTCTTTGGCCCAGGTTAACAAAGCCACGGGCTTCAGGCGCCAGGTGCGGCGGCAGTGCAACCTCCCCTACCCGCTGGCCTCCGCTGGCCCCCCAGCCATCCCGTCGGCCCCCGCCTGCTCCTGCCAGCAGTGTTTGAGCCACAGCAGCACAGGACCCATGCCCAGCCGTTCACGACATTCCTTTTCGTCGGGGAGTCTGACCCGGCCGAGCCTCCAGGGGACCGGGAGGGTTGCTGCGGCTCACCCTGCTTCTGTTTACTCGCCGTACCCCAGGAGACCCCTCTCTGTGGGGGGAATGTCCTGGGGCAGCCCCTGGCCTCCCCCAGCCTCTGCCAGTCAAATCTCTGCACCTCATCTGAGCAGCTCCACAAGTTCCAACGGGTTAAGGTGAGTTTTTGTTTTGGTTTCACTCGTGCCGGCTGTAAGAGCCGAGGACGTCCACTACACCCCCCAGCACCACCACCACCACCACCTCTTTGTCTTTCCTGTCTGTCTCCTCGCCGACCCATCCTGTCCAACAGGAAGGGGTAAAAATGTAGCTCCAGCGCTTCATGTTTGTTCTGGCTCCTCTGCTCCTTTGTCATCTGATCTCCCTTCCTCTTGTTCCAAATTGCTCTTAAAACAGTTTCAAACATGAGTTACTAACTTAAGTGGTGTGACAAATACTCTGTTCACTCAAAGTTCTTCTGGAGTGTCATTCTCTTCCACAATGAATTTAATTTGGTCTCTCCTTAACTGCTGGAGATTAATCATTGCACAGTAGAAAACCTCAGATTTTCTCCACCTGGTCAGAAAAGAGTTTTCTACATTTTGACTGTTTCTTACATGTGATGCTGCAGAGTTTGAGATCAATCAGATTCAATATTTTTAACTAAAGTCTTAGTTTGATGTAGATGAGAGAAGTGTGATGTGTTTTATCAATAATATTCTAAATCTGAAAACATCTTAGGAACAATAAATTACCAACTTTTGTTTTCCATATTAGTTAGCTGATTTTTTTTTTTGTTTCTTCTTCGCATTTTAAAACCCAGAGAGAGTTTTAGGGGAAGTAAAAAAAAAATAATTCTAGAAAAATTGCAAATGCTGAGTGCTGAAGGGCTTTGATAAAATTTGCTGAAGAAGCTAAAACTGATCTATTTATGTTCAAAGCAGCAGAACAGAGGCTAAAAAGAGCACAAAGATGACTAAATGTAGCAAAGCACAGCTAAAATGGCATGTTCCTTTGTACTGAAACTCTGGCGCAACAATTTCCTGCGGGATCAATAAAGTTCTGTTATCTTAGCTAAAACTACAAAATGCTAAATGTAATCTAAAACTGTCGAATGGCAATTTAGTCATAAAATGTTAACTAAAACTAAGTAAGTTGTTAAAAGTACCACAATGCTAACCAATAGAAGCACAAAAACAGCTGAATATATATATAAAAGAAATCTAAAATTATCTATTGGTAAAAGGCTAGCTAAAACTAGAAGTAGCTACAACTATCAAAATGCTAGCTAATAGAAACAACGATAGATGAAATGAGCTAAATACGATCTGAAAGTAGGAAAGGCATCAGCTGTTGAATCAACATCCATATATATATATATATATATATATATATATATATATATATATATATATATATATATATATTAGACACCATAGTTCTTCTGTTACTGATGGATTTATTCATCTGAGCGGCACTTATGGTTAGGCCTGTCACGATAACAAATTTTTCTGGGCAATTCTCATAAATTATTGCGATAAACGATAATATTGTTTGAAATTTGACAATAATTAGTAATTATTGTCAAATTTAAGAAGAAATGTTGGTTAATTTGTTTTGAGTGTAGTACCTTTTTTGACCACTGGATGGCAATATAAGACTGTTTTGAACCAAAGGATGGATAGTGAGGGAGCGAGCAGCGTGTCTCTTAAGAAAAATGGGAGGGAGGCCCCTTGACGTGACATGGGCAGTCTCTCCTTAATTTTTTTTTTGGTTCATAAAATGGCAGACGCTCGGTGTGGTTTGAGCTCTTTAGCGTAGCATTTTTCACACAAAGCTTTTAATATAAAATCAATAAACAAGTTCTCAGCTTCTTTTTGCAGAGAAAAACAACTTTTTACACGAAGGCACGGATTTCAACCGTAAATTTTGGAGCTTCGGCAAGACGTAGTTTTTTTTTCCCCCTGAGATCAGCCTGTTAGCTTAGCTCGTAGCTTAGCTTCTCAGCTTAGCTGCTTTTAATGATCCAAAAACGTGATTTTTGGATCATTAAAAGGAATTAAAAGAGAAAAGGAGGGGTCAGTGAAGAGCACCGGAGTTGAGCCTTTTGTCTTCCAGTGTCTTCAGTAGAAAAGGACACGAAGAAACGATAAAGCCGATAAATGAAAATGAAGCTGATAATTTTAATTTATCTTGCGATTAATTGGTTTATTGCGACAGGCCTACTTATGGTCATCAAATCCACCTCGAACTGCTCAAAACACATAACTGTACAAAATATACATATTCATATATGGCCTACAAATTGACTATAAATATGTACAATGAAACGTAACAAATAAACAAACCTCGCTGGCTGCACATAACCAAAGAGGGAATGAGTCCGCTGGAACAAAAGTAAATCATCAACCAAAAAAAAAAGGGGCAATGTAACTTCTTGAACCTTTAGGCAGGGCATCAAACTTTTCCTGCTTCACACGCCTTCCTGGAGGAGGGTTGTAACAACTTAAAGTGTCCCCAGCGCAACATAGCACTGAAAAATGGTTCCTAGATGGTGTAACTTACAAATTAATATTCAAAATAAATAAATGTAAACCACAAATGTAAACAAAACATATCAAATAAAGTTATAAATAATATATGTCAGTTAAATATATATATTTACAGTATATACACTTTTATATTTTGACATTATGACGATTTTACGATGTGACATACTTTGAATTTTAAGTTGGAAAACAAAAGTCGATGGGTTAATCTGGAAAGCAAAGGGTTAACTTCACGAAGCCGCTGCAGCACGGAGGAGAAGTGTGGGCGTGGCGGAGAAGGAGATCAGCTGATCAGCTGCAGGAGGGAGCTTCCCCCTGCACTTGTGGGCTGCACACATGGTGCAGACTCATTAAACATAAGTTATTTTAAATAAACAACCCACGGCTCATCCATCAATCAGCCGGTTGTGTCATGTCCAGTCTCACGTTGAAAAACCGTGATTTAGTGAATCGGCGAAAAACGAACCGCGAAGTAGCGAGGGACCACTGTACGCTGTTTTTGGAGACGTTCTCGACACTTAGTGGTGTCAGAAAATAAAACATCTGGAGCCGAGGGTTCAAGCTCCTAAAATGTGTCGAGACTCAGTTTGACGTGATTTAAGATTACAAAATCAAACGCGTGCGTTAAACGTTTCCGGCTGTTCTTTACTCTGTCCAGACTAATTACAGGAGTAATGGATCAGAACCGGTGGTGTTTAGAGTTCCGTCATGCCTCAGGACTGACGGCAGCTCGTTTTTTTTTTTTTTTTTTACTTTGAAGTCTGTTTTGCAGAGTAAACCGGTTTGTTGTCTGCGTATCCATCAACCCACTGTTGAATCGCGCTCCCTGATGCACGTGCAGCAGAGTCGTCGTTAATCAGACTCGGACGTGAAGAATTAGTCGCTCACTGCTCTGAACGTTGATTCTCAGCCTTCTCGGTGCACTGCAAGCTCACCTTTAGTTCTACGGTAGAGCTTCGTGTCGCTCCTGAAGGTGCTACAGCAGTCAGCTGACAACCAAAACAGCTGCAAGCCTTTGTTTTGTACTTCCTGTGTGTTGCTGATCTCACTGACTGAATGTCACGTCTGTGTTTCCTGGCCTGCAGCGTTCCTTCCATCTCCGTGCAGCTGAACGGGTCCACCAGCGTGAGCTCTGCCCTGGCAGGTAAACGGGTCACTAACCACCCATCCTCCGTGTTTCCTCTCCTCTCCAGCTGGGTGCAGCTTTGACGCTGAAGGTTTCCACAGATCTGTGCTCTTTTATCAGACGCTCTATAGATACGTAAATGGGCAAGAAGGAGAAATGAGACCATGCTAAACGTCCACCGACATGCTCTCTGCGCAGCAGTAGCTTTGAACACATGTATTTTTCCAGTTTCTTGTTTTGCTTAACTTTTCTAAACATTTTGAATCTAAATGTCCCAGAGTCAGGATTGTTAGAAGGTGGATTATAAACAGTTTGTCCTCCGTCATCATCAGAAGTCCAGGATGTTTGAATCCCTCTTAATAAAAATGCCATTAAGGAATCTGCTCACTTCCTGTACGTCAGCTTGGATCAGATACTCACCGTGCACTGCACGTTGCACATTCATCCTGCTCGGCTCACGGTGCATGTCGTCATTTTAAATATGACAAATAATGTCAAACCTATTTTGGTTAAAAAATAAAAAATGCATCTTTATTAAAAATGTATATATATATAAAAGGTTAATTATTTAGCCGAATAGATCACAAGAATTCATGTCTGCGCAGTTGCTCTTGTTAAAGGGATAGTTTGACCATTTTAACGTGGGGTTTTGTTGAATGAGCAGTTGTAGTTCTTGCTCTTTGAACGACCTCAGTTTGGAGAATCAGTTTAATTCTGAGTGGACTGACGAGCTGATGGCTAGTCCAGGTACAGCTAAGACTAAAGTGAATTGCTGCCATTTTAAAACGACTTAATGACGGTGCCCCCCCTCCCCCACCACCTAACTTCATCCTGCAGAGGTGAGTGTTTATGCGACGTGCCTCTAAACATTAGAAGAAAAACTTCAACCAAAGCTGCTGCTTTTTATTCTTTTATTTTGTTTTCTTTTATTCCTCCTGCACACCTTTTTTTTATTTTTTAAATTAATCCGTCTGGTTCTTGTCTGCGACGAGCCGGCTGCGTCGCTCCAATCCGCTCCGAGGAAGCTGCTGGACCAGAACCTCGTTAGTGAAACGCACCGAAGCGAGCTCGGAGTAAATCGTTTTGAAATGGAAGGTCACTCGTGCAGCGTCTCCTCCTGACGTGCAGTTTTAAGACTCGATAATGAACATTTAGTCATGGGAGCCAAACTTAATACACGTCACTGTTTTGTCAAACCTGCTGGATTAATGCTGCGGTTGGATATGGATTATAAAACCCACAAGTGTTGCTTTTCTCCGTTAATCTACCTCATCAGGTTAGGATCGTCACAAACTGGTCCAGTCCCAACATGGTCCGTCTGTTTTTTCACGTCACAGCGCCCGACCTGTTACAGGCCTTTCAATCTGAAAAACAGGAGTAGTCACGTTTCATCTGAAGGAACCTCAGATTAATCTCTCCTGCTGAATTGTGGATTACAGGTTAGCATTAGCAATAAGTGGCTCGAAAAGAGATGTAATATTTAAACAAGCAAATCAAAAAAAATTATATTACAAAATTGACCCATATGCGTCACTATTTTATTTATGCTGCAATGCATTCTGGGTAAATGACAGACAAGTTCGTCTTAAATGTTGGACCTTATCTGATGTTCAGCCTTTTTAATTTGAACTGGAGCGTGTTGACAGAGGAGGATGTAAGAAGTGACAGCTTTTGCATTAGCTCCAGAGCTAATAGCGTTAGCTCCAGAGCTAATAGCGTTAGCTCCAGAGCTAATAGCGTTAGCTCCAGAGCTAATAGCGTTAGCTCCAGAGCTAATAGCGTTAGCTCCAGAGCTAATA